GGCTTATCACTCTAACAGCTTAGAGAAGTTTTATTAATGGCGTAATGGATCAAAAAACTTTAAATACATTTATTTGCTTGGAGCTGGGTTGTTTCACCAAATGACTACAAATAAAATTACTGTGTGTCTAAAAGGAAAGTTAATAAGTTCCAAAGATCCTTGCTCCCTACAATTTCTCAATACATGTATTTTTTCCTTGACACCAGTTGTTCTCCAGATCCTAACTCCATCCTCAGCATTATTTACCTGCTTCCAGTTCTTTCAGGATTATCTCTCACTGTGAAATCAGATTGCTTTTCTTTGCACTATTTTCCTATTCACTCAAAGCCACATTGAACAAGAAGAAAATAGTGCAATTTCAATGCCAAAATAATTTGTTCATTAACAAAATGTTTATTGAGTACTTAATATGTACCAGGCACTGTTCTAGGCACTGAGGATATCAGCAGTGAAGCAAAGTCCCTGCCCTTACATTCTTCTGGGAGGTACAGACAATAAACCAATAAACATAGCATATACCCTTGGTGATTGATATTATAGAGCTAAACAAAGCAGGGTAAGAGGGAATAGAGAGTGATGAGTTGGGGGTGGTAAAATTGATTATTTTAAGTCAAGGAAATATTCCATTTAACAGCACTCATATACTGATTTATAATTCTAGGAAGGCTGGCACTATCATAATTATCTTTATTTTTCACCTGGCTTCAGGCTTGACACACAGTAGACGTTCAGTAAACCCAACGGAAACAGTAATATGCAAAAATACCTACATTCTGCTCTTGAACTTGGATATGTCTTGACATCACATGGATGGATTATGATTCTAGTTCATATGTTAGAAATGCAAAGTCCAGAGTTTGCATTTCTTCTTCAGAACTGTTGATAGCTAATTCTAGCAGACCAGCAAAAGCAAAAAGGCAGGGGTCATCAGTAGTCACTTTCTTCCAGGTCCAAGGAAGCTACTATCTCCTCATCTGTTCCTTAGATTCAACTTGGGGCTAAGATCCCCAAAGAAGCCTTGAATGAAGTCATCAGTTAAAGAGTTTCTACAGCCCAGTTAATCAGCAAAAACACAGCAAATGGTGAGGGGTAGTTAACAAAATGCTTCAGGGATTCATTGATTCATTTAACAATCATTTTTAAAGCAACTACTCTGTACCGGGAACTATGTTGGGGTGGACCAAATTATTTCAGCCTGTCCAGAATCTAGTCCTCAGCCACTTAGATTCAGAAAATCATATTGTTCACATACTCAGGGATCAGACTTTTAATGACAGAATATCTGTAATTAACCGTGCAATTAAAATCACCAGAAAATGCTAATTCATTCATTTCTACAGTGATTTAGAATACCTCTAGCCGGGCTTGCTTCTAACATTTGTGGTGTCAGAGCAAGAGTTTAAATGGAAGCCCATATATCATAGGTCTAAATATTTAAAAGTTTGAAATCATGCTAACAGACTGCATATATACATGTACATATGTAGAAATTCCATCTTCGTAACTCGACAAATATACCTTATAAATGACCTAGGAGGCCAACGACTTAGAGTTCCTTGCTGGAAAGAAGGGGGACAGAGCCTCTTCTGTGTCCCACATCACAGAGTGGAACCAGGCCAGACACCCAGGTTCTGTTTACATCCTCCTGCTAATGGTCCCTGTTTGACCGTCCTTTGTACCTAGGGATGAGCAACTCTTCAGTGAGGTTATCCCCAGGAGGGAGGCCAAGCAGGTCCTGGGAGCAAGCTCAGGACATTTGTGCAGAGAACTTCAGAGTGTTCTAGAAGGGAATGGAGATCTCCAGATGTGCGCCCTGTCCCCTTGGCACCATGGACTCCTTGGAGAAGGAGAACCAAAGCAGGACTCTTAAAAATGGGAACCAAGGCCATGATACAGGGCATCCCCTGCCCACTAGTAAGGTACTGGGAAGGCAAACAGAGTCCTGCTGGGGAATTAGGGCAAAGGAGGAGGGTTCACCAGCCCTGGAGCTGCGGCCTAGTTGACCGTCCCTCAGGGCATAGAATATCCACTGGCCCAAGAGGATACTTGTCACGCAAATTCAGGTGTTGCATCTCCCATGATGGAGCTGACACAGTGTCTTTCCCCAACAACTCCCTTTTCTCTGAGGGTTAGAGGCTGCAAAAGTCCCCCAGAGCCGGCAAATTTTTGAAATTCATACAAAGCACTATATAAGGTAGCTGGGATCTGTTGCCAACCTATTTCCAACTATGTGGTCTGGGCAGTTCTCAGAGCTCTGGAGCACCCCTTGTAGTAGACCATAGGGATTTTTTTTCTTTTTTTCCCTTTTATAAATTATTATTTTTAATTGACATATAATAATTGTATATATTTGTGGGGTACAGTGTGATGTTTTGATATATATGTACAATGTCTAATGATCAAATCAAGGTAATTATCAAATCCATTATCTCAAATATTTATCATTTCTTTATGTTGGGAGAATTCAAACTCCTGTACTCTAGCTATTTGAAAATATTCAATAAATTGCTTTTAACTATAGTCACCCTACAGTGCTATAGAATTTTTGATATGGATCCCTGAGATTATTTCAGTTCATGAGACTCTCAAAAGTAGAGAAGACCCCAGAGAGACACTGATAAGTGTTCAGATAATAGGCACCTCCATAATTCTAGGATAAATGGCTTAATTTACTGACCCAACTAGGTCTGTGGTAAGAATAGAGTATTAAGTTGTATTGGTGGCCTTGTCTCCATTCTCTTTGCTTTACAGTCATAATTAATCAAAACCTATCCTCTCACCTTTCTCATGCTCATGGCAAATAATCACCTACTCCAAGGAGGAATTAATTTAGGGAATAGATTGGCAGTGATCCTTCTTTTGGATGTGAGACAAGGAGCTTGGGAATATAATCAAATGCACTGTTATTCTAAGCGATGACAGCAAGAGGCAATTTCAAAACAGGCCTCTCTTGTGAACCACTGGGCCTTGATGACACGAGAGTGATTTTTCCATTATTGAGAAGAGCAAACCAGTACAAATAGAGGTGGATGATTTTTCCCAACAGGTGAACCAGGCTTCAGTTAGTTTCAGAGAAACTTTCTGTTGGAGTCAATCTGTCTGTGCTGCATCGAGTTGGGCCATCATTTCAATAGATCCAGTGAATCACTCTGGAGGAAATAATATACCCAGAACTTAGGGATCTGTGTGTGTGTGTGTGTGTGTGTTTGTTTGTTTGTTTTGGTTTAGTATCTGGAACCCGCCTCTGGAGTGTGGCTTACCTCTGATGGCCAGTCCCAGCCTCTTCTCTTTTGGAGGATGACCTGGAGGGGATAAGAATGAAGATGAGGGGAAGCCACAGGAGGAAAGAAGGAAGAGCTAGCTGCTTGGATATGAAACGAGGCTTTGCAGGGTGAGGGTGATAGGGAACTGCGGGGAGAGATCCAATACAAATACAACATCTATTTCCTTGGGCTCCTCAGATGCTTTTAGACTCAAGTTCCATGAGGTTTTCTTCCTAGTGTCCTTTGAACTCCCCCCATGCTGAGAATTCTTTCCTAACAGTCCTTGTATTGTTTGGAAAAATAAGTGTCAGGGAGGTAGAATCACCATGAGCTGTGGAGGAAGTGATTTATCACAGGAATTTGTCCTGGCCCCATTGTGAGAGGGAATTGGAGGATGGGAGAAGCCACCCACGGTCAGTCTGACAAGTCTAGCACATCCAGCTGCCCGTATGGAAGAGGAAGCTGGTGGGGACACCCATGGGAAACTGCTCCTACCTCTGTAGGCCTGCGGCCACGTGTCCAGTTGGGGGGGCCTGGGCTGCTGCTGGTCAACAGGGTCAGCAGTCAGAATAAAGATCTGAACACAGAGCAGAGGAGAGTGAGGACAAGTGGGATCCGCTGTCACTTCTACCTCCGTTTGTCATCACACCTAACCATAACAATGTTTGAAAAGTAACGATGGCTCCTGCTTCATTCCTACCTTCCAAATCATGTGCAAATTCCTGTTTGGGACCAACTGTAACCCAGAGCTGTAAGGGAGGGGGATCCTGGGAAATGTGATTCCAGCTTAGCCAGCCAGCACAGTACACACTACCACGCCAGGACACTCACAGCATACCCACTGATAGAGCTGCCCCAGTAGCTGGCATGGCACCCAGACAGAGAAGGTGCAAGATGAACGGATGGAAGGAAAAGCTGGAAAGCATCCTTTGACTGATCAGAGGATTGGAATATAGGAGATTGGAATATAGGAGAAAACTATTAAGAGCTTTCCTAAGCTGGGAGGCTAGGGTGGGAGGATTGCTTGAGGTCAGGAGTTCGAGACCAGCCTGAGCAAGAGCAAGACTCCGTCTCTACTAAAAATAGAAAAATTAGCCGGGCATGGTGGCACATGCCTGTAGTCCCAGCTACTTGGGAGACTGAGGCAGGAGGATTGCTTGAGCCCAGGAGTTTGAGGTTGCTGTGAGCTAGGCTGATGCCACAGCACTATAACCTGAGCAACAGAGTGAGACTCTGTCTCCAAAAAAAAAAAAAAAAATAGTTTTCCTGCTAGGGTGGGACAAAGAAAATCTTGCTAAGGTGAATTTAAGTGGTCAGCAGTCTTCATTTGGAATTGAGGTAACAGTCAGCAGCCACAATTCCCACTTTGGTGCAGCCGGATTTAAAATGAATCTTTCTTCTCAGAAAGGCCCTAGCACATGAATATTTAAAGAGTTCTTTTAACACACAGAGTTATCTGAGGGAAAATTACCTTGACACATATTATAAAGACTCTACATTGTTAAAATGCACAAATTCCTTATCAATGATGCTTAGAGTAGCTCCTTGGAAGGGAGAAAATGTTTATTAGAATCAATTAAAGTACGTTTGAGAGATTTATTTTCTACATCTTTATTCCCCTATTTAAAGAAAGTGCTGAGTTGTATATTAACACTTCAAGGTCTTGACCACTTTTTGTCTTGAAAAAAAGAGAGAGAAAATGTTTGTCATTCCAGGAGCATAATCAGTTGAGCCGGCACACAATGACATAGTTAATTCACCAACGGAATTTGTTGCCATAGCTCCAGCGAGGGACAGGGTAGATTAAACAATGGCCTTTTTCACGACTGCAGCTTTCACCACAACCTGACTGTCCACGCACAACAGGCCATCATAGCTCCAGTTCAGAGCACAGCGATTGTCAATGAACAAACAGCAGCCCAGAGGGGACAAGAGGAGGCTTGTGGTAAATCAAGCAACAGCCCCGAGCAACTTGAATCTCTGCTTATCCAATAACTGGAACATGTAGCTCCTCCGACCTTATCTTTAAGGGCTGGGCATAGAGAGCTGGCTTGACTTTCTCTCAAGCTCTCTGGTTACTTTGAAGGAACGAAAATTTCCCCCTGCCACTCAGAACTCCAAAGGGAAGAGGAACCGAGAGAAGAGGGAAAGACGGTCAGGAGAAGATATGGTAGGTCACCAGGAGTGCACCATGGAAGAGGACACCAGGGACAAATGCACTCCCAAAGTCTCGCGCAAGGTAATGTAGATGCTTGCTAATTGATTTTTGCCTCTTTGACTATCAAAGTCGGTTCACAAAGTAAAGCTCTATGTAGCCACAAGTGTGACGGACCTGTGCTAATTAATAGAGTCACACTAAAAATGGAAATATGGTCCTCTCCATCTTAAGGTGATAAAAAAGAAAAACAAATGGTGGCTAATATTTCTTTATCCCCTTACAGAGGATATAAGCTCCTTGGATAGAGTTAGATGACAAGAACAAATTTGCTTTCTAAAAATAAATGAAATCAATATGAGGAAATGTAGGGAGTTCAAGGCATTGGAGAAATGTTTTAACAAAATGTTAATTATTCTGTAAAATGAAAAGTTCTCCTAGTATAAATGTCACAAGATCTTGATTAGAATATTCATTTCTGAACTCCACGCTACGCAACTAGCACATAAGTGTGAGATCACTTTATATGGTCTTTTATTTGGTGGACAGGGTTGTCTAAGGGAATGTGTGTTTGAAGGGGAGCCTTGTTAAACCAAATGAGTGCTAGATGGAGAAGGTTTAGGCAGTGGGGCAAAGTGGTAAGAAGGACTCCAGATGATGTGAAGAGACTGAGGGCCAGGGGCAGCTTCCCAGCACTGAAGGCATTTCTCTGCCTAACAGTGAAGTTGGTTTCAATCCACCACGCTGAGAGAGGTTTCTTAGGCCTCAGGACACCAGCCCTGCTCTCTCCTCTCCCAGCGCTCCTTCAAAACCTTCCCGTGCCCGTCGGAATGGATGTGGGTGGCTGGTTTAGGTCCCATCTGCATCAGAAAATAGTCTGGGTCCATATCCAGGGGACACTTGAACTACATGATCATTTCCCCCAATTGGTCCCATTCCCGGTTGCCTCCATGTTATCTCAGATTTGGAGAAATTTGTATTGTATGTACTCATGAGTTTTGCCAGCTCGTTTTATTGACTTAATGGGGGAATCAGGAAGCGTTTATTTAGTCATTCATTCACTCATTCATTCATTCATTCATTTTTCATTCCAAAAGTAGATTTGAAGTGATATCAAAACAACTGGATTTCAGTTCCTGACTGGTGCAGATGTGGAAAGTTGAGATGATCTTTCTTTCTTTTATTTTTTTCATTTTTGAGACAGAGTCTCATCTGTTGCCTGGGCTAGAGTGCTGTGGGGTCAGCCTAGCTCACAGCAACCTCCAACTCCTGGGCTCAAGCGATCCTTCTGCCTCAGCCTCTGGAGTAGCTGGGACTACAGGCATGCGCCACCATGCCTGGCTAATTTTTTCTATATGTATTAGTTGGCCAATTAATTTCTTTCTATTTATAGTAGAGATGGGGTCTTGCTCTTGCTCAGGCTGGTTTCGAACTCCTGACCTCGAGCAATCTGCCGGCCTCAGCCTCCCAGAGTGCTAGGATTACAGGCATGATGCGCGCGCGGCCTCCCTTTTTTTGAGACAGAGTTGTACTCTGTCTCCCGAGGCTAGAGTGCAATAGCTTCATCATAGCTCACTACAACCTCAAACTCCTCCTGCCTCAGCCTCCCAATCCCAAGTCGCTGGGACTACAGGTACACACCACTGTGCCATTTTTATTATTATTATTTTTAGTAGAGATGCAGTCTTGCTCTTGCTCAGGCTGGTCTTGAACTCCTGAGCTCAAGTGATCCTCTTGCCTCGGCCTCCCAAAGTGCTAGGATTACAGGCATGAGCCACCATGCCGGGCCAATATATAGAAAGTTGAGATGATCTTTCTAATGTTCCAGTCCTGTAGCATTAAATCTATGCAAATATCACTCTGTACTCCCATACCTTTTGTGAATAGAAAAATGGACAAAAGCCTCTAATTTCAGTCTCCCAATAACATCAATTATCATCATAATAATGGCTGACATTTTTAGTCCTTAGTAAGTGGCATGCCCTGTGCTAAGCACTTTCCATGCCTTATTTTATGTGATTACATTCAACAAAAGGGCTCAAGCTCCTGACCACTTGCCTATCCTGCTAATTTTTGCTTTAGTCTCTCTCAGTCAAATTGAATAGGTTTATTTAACCTCCTTGGGCAATTAAGATGGATTACATTATTAATTGTGACAATAATAAAGAAGCAATTGCATCAACATTTTTATCACACCTTTCAGTTCTCAATGTACTTCTGTCACACAGTAGACCTCAACTTCTGTCAATTTAACTTGCTGACTGCCAGCCCTTTGTGCACCACAGATTGACAACCCCAAGCTGACACACAACCATTTCTGGCTATTGCTAATGGTGCTGCTTACCAGCCAATAGTTACAAGCATTGTCATTAAATATTGTATCTGAAAAGTGAGGACAATTATGAATTTTATACTTTACAGCTCTCTGGGAGTGGAAACTCCCTTTAAATCAGAGAGTTGGTTATTTATTTTCAACATATTTAATTTTGGTACCTGGTTGGTACTTATTTAGAAATAAGAGAATGCCCAAACATTATCTCAATTCCTCTTACCCCAAGTCCTGTGAAGTAGATATTATTTATATTCCCATTTTCAAGTGAGAAAATTAAAGCTCACAGAAGTTAATTGTCCAAGATAGTAAGGGTAGAGCTGGAATTCAGGTTCTTAGCATCCAGTTTCACTTTTTCTTTAAACCTACACCGTCGAATAAGGTAACCATTAACCATATATGGCTGTTTAAATTTAAATTTTAATTAATTAAAATTAAAAAACTCAGTTCCTCAGTCACACTAGCCACATTTTAAGTGCTCAATAGCTACTAGGGTGGCTAGTGGCTACTCTATTTAGACAGTGCAGATATAGAATATTCCATCATGACAGAAAATTCTATTGAATAACACTGCTTTAAACCATAATATCTCTTTTAGATATGTTGAGACGTGTTCTTAAAATATATTGCAGTTCTGTTACAAGTAATATGGATTTTAAATTTTACAGTAAAATCTCATTCATTTGAAGTCTCCTCATTTGCATAGCACCAAGTTAACTTTGATCTGCAAATTAATAATATAGATAAGAGTCAAGGAGTCTGTTAAATGCACTTCAGAGACCAAAAATTTTTAAGAACCATCAAATAACTCCAGAAGCACTCACTTAGATGCAAGCAATTGATATGATAATTACACATCATTTTTATTTATTCATTAAAACAGGGATCCCCTAAGGTGCCCTTTTAGGGAATAATGTGTTTAGCCTAGTTATTTCTAGCAACCCTTCTGCTACTTTCTAAATTCTGTGTAAAATCATTTTATACTACTGGTTTATGTTCCTCTCTTCCTTTGCATCATAAAGTAAAATTGTCACATAAAATACTTTCACACTGAAATTCTGACTAGCTCAAGATCTCATTCCAAAGCCCTGATATCTTCCACTATATCCTGTGATTCCTGGAAGGGGTGATTTTGTGGGCCCTGCAGGTCCTACATTGAGCCTGGTATACAGTAGGAATTCAGTAAATATCCATTGACTGGTTGACGGAGACAGTTCTTTTAAGATACTCCGATTTTCTACAGAGAATACATGTATCATATGGAAGACTGTCTCCCATATTTTTCTTTTCCCTTTATCAGTCTTTGCTGCCAAGTCTGCATGGTGAGATAAGGTCTTCCTGCTTGTGAGAAAGAGAAGACTCCCAGGCATTCCAGTGTGGGGGAAGGGGAGTGTGATCTTGCCTGACAATTTGGAAACTAAATCTGCCAGCTCCTTCAGAAGGGACAGCAGGGTGGCAAACATGCTGCCTTCCCATGGCACCAATCATCAGCACCATCAGTTCTTAAATAATTATGTTGAGTACACTTTTCCAGGTACTGTGCTGGTTCTAGGTAATAAATAGGATAGAAGAGAGACTTTTGAACTGTTTAGAGAAGAATGGCACTTGCATTTCTAAACCCTTAGCTAAGGTGGCTTCTTACAACTTGTTGGGACTGGTCATACCAAATGTTAATGCCTTTTTAGCAAAAATAAAACTTAATTCCTCAACTGAGCAGTATAATTCAAAGAATATGATTTGTTACTTCCTTGTCTTCCTTAAGAAAAATTTCTAGCCCACAGACCATAATAGAAGAAAGGAAAATTAATAGAAACAATGTAAATGTGCATTAAATATTTAGTCTTTATTTGGAGGGAATTAAACAATTTAGAACCCTCCAAGTTTATGAAGTTTAAATATTTGAACTTTTTTTTTTTTTGAGACAAAGTCTCACTCTATTGCCCAGGCTGGAGTGCAGTGGTGCTATTGTAGCTCACTGGAGCCTAAAATTTCTGGCCTCAAGCGATCCTCCTGCCTCAGCCTCCCGAGTAGCTGAGACTACAGGTGCATACCACCACACCTGGCTAATTTATTTTTTATTTTTTTTGTAGAGATGGTGTCTTGCTATGTTGCCCAGGCTGGTCTCAGACTCCTGGCCTCAAGCAATTCTCCTACCTCAGCCTCCTAAAGTATGAACATTTTTTAAAGCCACTTAAAGGGAATGTAGATATTTACATTTTAACTTTTTGTACCAAAACATCAATAGGCCTTCTTCCCTCTCATCTCTATAATTCGTATACATGAACCCTAACATTACAGAAAACAGGCATGTATTTGTAAAGCCTTCAAGCTCACTCAACATGGTTTTGTCTCCTTCAGAAACTATGTGTTAGGCTGATTCATCCTCTTGACTCAATCAGCAAATGTATAATCACTGCCATAGGCTGCTCTCCTAACAGTTCTCACTCTGAACATTGACAGGTGGAGCACTCTAAACCTGGCTCTCTACAGTACACTAACGTCTCTTGGTACAAGCGCACTCACTGTGGTCCTCTGAGACAAGTGTTGGGGATCTCCTGTTCCCTAACTCCTCCCCAGCTCACTGAAACGGCCCAATTACCACACAAACAGACGCGTAGTGAGAGGCCAGACTTGTGTCTGTGGTGAAACCTGGAGTTTCCCTGGTCTTCTCAGTGCTAGGAACTATGGGTAGAAAAAGAGTCTTACTGGTCTCTCTTACTTTTGCCCTTTATTCTCAGGACTTGGCACTCTCAAA